TCTCCATCTCCACTGTTGCTCGTTGTGACTCCGGCCATTTACCTAGCCACCCAAGGTCACTCATGGCCAGCAATGGATTTCAGTTTTAGTTCATGCCACCTGACTGTCTTTGATCTAGTCGAACCTCATGCCAATATTTCCCAACAAGTTGGGAAATAACCTATTATTACTATATCATCGGGTGTTCCCCACTGTTTGTGACATTGTCTTCCTTTTGTGTAATCCGCTACCCCACAAATCCCTCAGTCATGCACCATCCTGACTGTAAAACTATGATCATGCCAGACGGTATGCCACTCACAAGTTGAGAATAAGCATTATTATAATAATTATTATTATGAATGGTGAGTGGCCTGTACGCTCAAGCTTATATTCAAATTGTGCGTCAGAATCCTTTCGTTAACCTAATATTGATAGGCGTATGATGACTTAGGCACTAGGCATTCTAAGGTTTTTTTTACCATCTACAGGATTAGCGATGTCAACTGATTTTGTACGGTCGGCCTATCACCTTATTGGTCCATGCCTTCGTTTTTTCCTACTTTCGTTCTTCTCCTCTCCTTATTATGTTAAATCATATTCACTACTCAAAGGCGCCAATCAGTAACGCTTTTTTGAAGGAAACTGGACGATAATCGGTGGGGTCACGTTGGCGTTGAATCCAGACCTGATGTAACCTGACACGGCTAGATCTGACCTGGCCTAAACCCAGTGAAGCATGTATGACTATCGGCGCTCTCCTTGAGGGATAGGAATGGAGAGCCCACGAGTGACCCAAAAGTGGTATCTGAGGTTTACAGAGAACACTATGCGTGTCTGTACTCAACACTCCTCGTCACATCCACCATTGTCAAGGTGGAACTACGAACAGCCTCTAACCGACTTGGTCTTCACGGTGGAGGATATTCGTCAACTCTTGTGCAAGATCAACCCATTCTGCCCGTTCGGGCCCGACGAGGTCCATCCAAGGATCCTGAAAGAAACGTCGTCCACACTGGCAAATCATTTACACCTGGTGTTTCGTCAGTTGCTTGTCGAAAGCCGCCTTCCCTCTGCTTGAAAGGAAGAGATTGTCTACAAAACTGGTGACCGACTGTCGCCTGGCAGCTACAGGAATGTGAGCTTCACTAGCGTGGCATGCAAGGTGATGGAAAGCATTCTGAAGCGAGCTATCCTATATCACCTTACTACCAGCAACCTGCTATCTCCAGCTCAACACGGATTTCTCTCAAACCGCTCTTGCGTGACAAACCTGCTCGTGTTTGTGGACAGCTTAACCCAAGCCGAGGACGAAGGACTCGTATCGGATGCCATGTTTTTCGACTTCTCAAAAGCATTTGACAGGGTCCACCACGTCCTGCTGCTCCACAACCTTGAGTCTTACGGGTTTCAGGGGAAAGTGCTTCACTGGATCAAGGCTTTCCTTTCAGGCAGATCATTCCGCGTGAGAAGAGGCTCGACCTACTCTTCTCCAGCACCGGTCTCCATTGGAGTTCCTCAAGGTTCCGTTATGTAATAATAATCGTCCCTTTCGGAGCCTTGCTGCCATGCCACACCAAGGAGGCACGAGGGCTGGGATACTGCCAGGTCGCCCAAGCCTAGACAGGGGAGGTCGAGTAGCAGAGGTTGGGTTCGAATCACGGACCATCCGGTCAGTAAATTCGCGCTCTAACCACTTGAGCCATTTCGACCCTCAGCCATTTCTACCTGTCCTGGACCAGTGCTGTTTCTGATCTACGTTAACGACCTTCCAGATGTTTTTGCAAGTCCATGTCTACTTTTTGCGGACTACTTGAAATCCTGGAGTTCCAATGCCAGTGCCCTCCAAATAAATGTAGACGCCACAAAGCAGTGGTCGTTGGACTGATACCTTCCCCTGAATGACGAAAATTGCGTTCATATGTCATTTGGAGGAGACTTTGTTATGCATGATGAGAAAGCACCAGAAAACATCATATGGATAGACGCCAAAAAAGATTTGGCTATCTGGGTCTCCTCAAACTTGCCGTTCTCACTGCACTATGAGAAATCGGCCCAAAAGTCATTCGTCATTTTACGGATGATCCGACGCACCTTCTCCCCTATCACCCGCATGGACTTCCAAATACCCCATGGGTCCTACGTCAGATCACTCCTAGAACGCGCCAACCAATTTGTCTACTCAGAACGCACGAAGGACGTCACTCTCATTGAGCGTGTCCAGTGTGCCGCTACGAGAATGGTTGTCGGCCTCAAATCTGTGGACTACGAAACGCGTCTCGCGCTGCTTGATCTCCTTCCCCTGGAGTACCGTCGCCTCCCGGGGGACTTAATTCTCACTTATGTCCTGTTTGAACAAAGCTTGGCAAACAGGTTTTTCACCGTTCAACCAGCAGACACACGGCGGGGACATAGTAAAAAGATTTTCAAGCTCAGAGCGTACACATTCATCAGGCCAAATTTTTTCTCATTTCGGGTAGTAGCTGCGGGGAATGACCTTCCTCCGACGGTTGTCCACGTTGCTTCTAGAACCCAGTTCAAAGCAATACTAGACATTTATTTATGCGAATCCTCGCGCTTGCAAGCATACTGCCCCGAGCTGAGAACATAAAGAGCAGTGCTACACCCTTTTTTCACTTGTGCCTTTCAGGTGAACGGCAGCCGCTGACCGACAAGAACAAAAGCGACCCAGGAAACTTGGGTAAAAGCCTCAATCCTGTATATCGATCCGTGAATCCGTGACCAATCAGGGTGCTGATTTCCCATCATCCGTTTCATTGGGTCCTTAGCGGGATCCGCTAGGTTGCGGTCACGTGCTCGGTTTACGTGCGATGTCTTTCTATCGTACTATCGGTCTGAAAAGTATCGCAAAACTACACACTAGTGTGTCGCATTTTCAGAAAGCCTCACGGAAGACGTGAGTCCCTTAATTGTTCTGTGAGGGATGATAGGTCCGTAGAGTCCCGATAACGTTCGTTTGGAAGGATGGTAGGTCCAAGACCGTGAATGCTAAGGTTGGAGACTCCTTACTGGATGTAGTACTAGACCAAAACGTGGGAATAGATGGATTTGGTTTGTGCGTTCGCAAGATCCTTAATATTTTCTTGTCCAGGAGCATGTGAAGGCACTCTTGCATGTTCGACGTGCCACTTGATATTTTCTCCGAAAGACTATGAAAACCTCAAGGACCCCCTCACCGAAGAGGAGCAGGATATGTTGGACTTAGCGTTTGGCTTAACAGATACGTGAGTGACTTTCAGTACCTTGACTTTCTCACTGCCTGTTTTCACGACTGGTTTGAATACGCATGGTGTGCACCCAGGGGACATTTTGGACCTTCTGCTCCGTGAAACAGCAAGCGGAAAATATGTAGCGTAATTTTTATTTGTTCTGCTCGCCTCGGAGCGATGGTCTCACCGTCGTCCTAAGCTTCAGGTTGCGTTGCTTTTATCTGCTGTCCCTCGTTTGAATTTGAACAAATTCATGTTGCCTGCATTTACAACAGGTCACGTCTCGGTTGTCAGGTTATAGTAACGGAGGATATGCCTGGCATTAAAATCACTGTGCCCGAAGGAATCTACGATGTCCGCGCCCCATAGTAAGACTCATTTGTGTTTTGCACCTGTCTACTTGTTTTTGGCATCATTACTTAATACCAGACTTGATTCGCAACTTGTTTCAGTTTATGTTGTACAGTAAGCATCATTTTGTATGTTATTTAGGAACTAATGGAATCAATAACGATCCCTTCGGAGAATGCGTCTGAAGAAGCAAAGCCTTTTATCCGATTGCCTTCTAGCAAGGATCTCAAAGGAATATAACCTCCTTATAAGGGTAGCTTTGTTAACAGGGCCCATATAGTATAGGGCACATATAGTAGCTCGTATTCGACGGTTGCCGAAGCACGGACACGAAACACTCCATCGTGCCCTTTGGCTGATCCATGGCAGCTAAACATCGAAAGTGTTACAGCCGATTAGTTATAATCATCTGGTCTATTTTTATCCATCGCATCTGCCAGTCTTCTTTCCCTTCTGCTTGTAGGCATCAAAGTGATACGCAGCGATTTGTTCGTTTACCAACTGGATGAAGCCCTTCGCTTTCTCATGTAATTTTTCCACTTGATTAAATTATTTCTATTCAATGTTCTGTTTTGCTCGGATCGTTCGTTCGACGTGTTGAGCATTCCTGAAACGGGTTCGGTGCTAGTTTGACCTACTAGCTACCATGTCTCAATGAGTATGTGCAGCGGGGCATAATTCTTTGGTCACCCACGCTTTTCGGCGTAGCTCCACAACTAGAAAATGGCATGGAACATTATGTCCAGTGAGTAATGGTTACCATCACAAATCTGCAGTTCAAACGATCTTTTGAAAAAGTTTGTGTAGGAACATTAAAACACCTGTCATCTATTTCCATCTTGGCATAGCCACCTAACCAATTAGGGAGCCCATAGATTTCGTTCCGTGACACGCACTATATTGCAAAACGGAAAACGCGTCACCCAGTAACCGAAATAATGCCCCTCCAAGTAAATGGATGTGTAAATAGGCAGGGATGAAATGAGGCGATTCGGCAAGTAGCGAAATCAAACCAACTGCATCCAATCAGGACCTTTTGAACTACAGTGCCAAATCTACCTAGATACCCTTTACTCGGGGATGTTCTCCCCAAATACTTACTGTTCAGTTATCTTATAAGTACTGCCATCTCGAAAAAACAGACATCTCGTTTGAGTTGTTTTCACTGAATGCTTGTGTATTGGCACATACGTCGCCCTTTATCATCGTTCTTTGAGGACTGAGGAGCATTAGGGCGTCTGTGTAATAATCACCATGCACAGTCAACAAGGCAGTGTTTTACCAAAAATTAGGGAGTGGTTGTGAGTGTATCATCATCGACAGCATGGCATCAGTGTTCAACACTAATGCTTCGCTGCCGTAGGAATTTATTGTTAGACGTAAGTATCATGGTTTTACGTGGGCTGGGATGCTGCCATGGCGCCCACACCTAGACAACATACCGATTATAGTCCTCAACCGAAGCCTTTGGTCCAAAAGCCTAACCACAAGGCAGGGAAATTACTATTTCTACAGAACAAGTCGCCACATGTCCCAACCCCCAATCTGGAGAATGTGCTCATCAGACTAACCACTGCCCAACCTGGTATTAGAGACTGAGTATCGCGGGGACACCCTCCAGTATAGCTCAATGGGTCACAGGTACGCCAATTCCCAACACGATAAGCAAATAATTTCGGCGAAGAGAACATTGGTTTCTAGTGTTTAGGCAGCGGACTCGTATGGTTCCTGTTCACCCGCGTGGAACCGGGTACTTTACGGCTGAGTCGTGAATAGTCGATCACTTTCTTGGCGTGGTTGCCAAATATGGAGGCACAACTGAACGGAATTTCTCGAAATGCAAGTTTTCCCAACTGCTTTTGTGGACGAAAAATACGAAAGGCTGCAGTCCGAAACTCAATAATCAGGAGTCTCCTAGCCTCGGTACGTACATAGAAGTTAGCTAAATACCCCTATACGGGAATTTCGAAGAGCATATAAGCATCAGCACCGATACGCATTATATTCGATTTTCTGGAGTTCTTCAGGTTGCATGATGCTCATGCATGTTCAGTTTCCTGCCGCGTCGGATCTTTCGTTTTTTTCTGGCCGAACTCATCAGCGGCGATAATTTGAAGCTTACACCCTAGAAACCCTAGATCCAAAATATTTGCCATACTACTAGTGTTCCGCCTCAGAGAAGCGAATTAGGGTGGTTTCTATGTAGGGAGAGGTTGCGTTGACGAATCGTTCATGCCACTCTTTGTTTTGGAACATCGCTACAAATTCTAATAGTCAACCACCGCTTGCTTCATTACCTTTCGCGCATCGTTTGACCTAGCCAGTAGGGAACGTCTCTGATCTGTCTTGAAAGCCTATGGCATGCCAGATAAGCTGTGGAGTTTGATCGAAACCTGCTACTCGAGCGCAAAAGCATCCATCCCACTATCCTTCTTGAGATGGTGCTGTTCCACCGAAGGCCAGCTAAAAACTTGGTTGTCCACAGTTAACACCGACTTTGAACTACTTGGTTTGAGGTGTTCTGTGGAACCAGACCGTGGAGCAAAAAATGGATAGCGTTTTGGTCGTACTTTGCTGCTAATCGCACTGCATGAGTAGTGAAAATCAGGGATAATCTTAGAGCCGACTAATTCTTCTTTAGGATAAAATCGCCCTGAACTAAGTAATCCAACTTTTAAACCATACTTACCGTACTGAACTAGAAGCACCTTGCGTCGCCTGACAGGATTTCTGCGAAGTATTTTCATAGATCTGGCAGTGAATTGGTTGTTACTCTTTCCACAAAACTCGGACTCAACGGGCTTTCATTTACCACCGAGACTTGGCCGAAGTGACTAAATTCCTCGCAGTGTTTTCAAACTCCTCTCTAGGTTTGGGCAACCTGGCATTGTGTCAGTCCTCTTCCTTCCTTCGGGTGGCATGGCAGCTAGGCGCCTAGAGTTTCTAAAGGGCTGCGCATCTTGATTGGTATCTGGGGTGGCGTTTCTAATCCAAAGTTCTGAAAACCTTTCGTACAATGTACCACTACTTTTCAAAGTGACCGATCACTATAACCCCAGTTCAGAAACTCACCAGGGCCTCAGGAATCCGGTCAAGTCAAAATCCCCTTATCAAACAGGAGCCCTCACTAGACCGGCTTTGTCAACTTGTGCGCGCTTCTAGAGACAGGTTAACTTTTCGAGCGACCGGACCTGTCGCGGCAAATTTTCAGAAGGCGACGTAGTACGGTAATATGTTATGTTTTAGCCCATTTAATCCTCATACAGCATCGAGCGGATGCGACTTCGCATATATATATGAAGTATCCTTACAAATGCCTGTGTTGAGAATCCTAATCGCTGCAGAAGCCGTCGGAATACGGATTTACAGGCTTAACGTTTTGTTCTCATGTTACTCAGACTCATTTCCAATTTTAGCGAACAGCTTATCTCCCTTACTACTGTTTTTCAGCTTGCCTGCGCTCAATTCTATTTTGATCAACCTTATATGTCCCACATGTGTGTGAGCCGGACGATTAGCTTCCAAATGGGTTCCTTTACGTTACAACCCTTTGGTTGATTTAGCTGTAGTAGCTCGTAGTAATTTACATTAATCAAGCACTAAGCGAGGTTCGCCGGTTCACCGATAGTGCGGGAATGTGTTTCTTATTTGCAGGTAAATTCCAAAGCTCTACAAAAGATCGGTCATGAAGCCGCCAAAGAGGCGCAGACGCTGGTAGCTGGTGCCAGTACGTCCCATTCGGATGAGACTCAGTCCTCGCCGAAGAAACAGAAAAAGGGAAGAAACTTTCTGTCACGAGCCAAATGGAAAAAACGACGCGTGAAAAAGTTGCACACACGCAAGCAACGTACCGCAATGAAGAATGCGAAACAACCCGTTTCCGTTCCTGCGGAGGAGCATCAAGAAAAGGCACTAGAATATCTTCATACATGGGACACAGATCAAGAGCACTGGAAGTTTCGGAAGAACCAACAGACCTGGTTGATAAATCATGTTTTCAATCCCCAATTAGTAAGTTTAACCCCCTTCTGTGTAAGCAATCAGTCAGGCATTTACAACAACGCACATTTAGTACTCGCTGAACAGTTTGAAGTGGTCAGGTGTCATGTATTCGAGAGAGTTTGAGGTAACTCAGTTGTTATGGCGTGAACTTACTGTCCGGAACGCCAGTGGTTCGGACCCAACCCAGGCTATTAGAATTCTCCTGTCTAAGCTGGGACAACCTGGCAGTCTCAATCCTGGTGCTTCATTCGGGTGGCTTGGCAGTTAGGCACCGAAAGGTTGTTGGGACTGAAAGACTTCGTTTGCGTTTTCATGGAACGGTGGAAACCTTATGGGAGGTGAATAGCGGTGAATTACAGTATGGACTCTCGATTAAACCAGAAAAATGTGTGCCCAACAGTTCGTGGTGGAAAAATGGTCTCTGTTATTCTGATTCAAATCCTGAAGAATTTACGCAGCAGAGGGCTAATTCGCTGATCAACATGTTTCTAACCAGATACCAGAAACTGTCCGTACGAACAGTTCAGGCGTTCGTTTGTCTTTGCAAAAAACAGTGATTAATTTTGGTTTTTGGACATGCCAACTAGAAGTTTTGCTTGTATGTTACGCAGGCACTATAACCTAATCCCGCGCCTGCTCGCAAATCGAAGCTGGTAACATAAATACACCGATTAAGGCTAGGTCGCGATTTATAGTTGGAAGGGAACCATGGAAATATGCTCACCCTCCAATCCCGTATTTTTAACGGGTGTACCAACGCTCAATCTTGACCGAATGTCACGTTTTTTGTAGGTTGTGCGCAATACAACCATCCGAGGGTGATAATCGAATTCTTTCCGTTTGTCATCCAATGAGTCGCTGGCCATTGACCACAGCAAGTAATGTGGTGTTTTTGGTTGAATCATTGAGCATTATTCTGTGGACCACATGCCAGCACAAATTTTCCAGGTGAATACCCGTCGCCTGTTCTCTAGTTTCATCTTGGTATTTCTATTATACTCTCTGTAACTATTCTGGCAGATCCCTCGGCCAGAGTTTCGTATATTCTTGCAATATGTCAAGGGACTGGTTGGTTCAGCCCGACAAATCCTGGTCGCACGGTGTGAGCAAATTATGAATCAGCGGGAGCCTGAAATGGTTCTCCCAAGTGATAATCTGCCCGCGCCAGAAGATGAAATGGTATATTCTTCGTTGGTTGACAATGGTGAGTACACTAGAGAATAATCCCTCATTTCCTTTTTAAGTCTCATCTCAACCGATTCACTCAAGTCATAGTTATCTGGTTCTATTGACCCATCCTTAAAAATATCAGATTTATTTGAACAGCTCAGTGAGATTGGCGTCCGGTCACTCAATGAAAAGGCTTCTAATGCTACCTACTAAGAGCTGTTATATGCGGAAGTGGAGCTGATTAGCACACACACACACACACACTCTCTCTCTCTCTCTGTCGATGTATTCATATCTGATTATGGGTTTGTCACGGTGAAAACACTTCCGATTGACAGTCTAGGGCATAGATTTCCAGGCTGCTATTTCTCAGTTCCCTAAAACTACCTGGTTGCTTGGTTTATTTGTGAGATTCGTAGAATTCTAATTCACATTCCCGTTTTGGGGAGTCTTCCTCTTGTCCCGGTTATGTTATTCGGGTTGGTACACACCAAAGAAGAGAATCATAAGACTCGGTTTTTGTTCTTATTAAAGCTTATTAGCTGTGTACATCCTTGACCGTGACTCGGGGCATTCGACATGCAAAGCAAGTGTGTAACTGCCCCTCTACCAGAGCACACTGGACGCATCTTAACAATCACATCTGAACGGGCGAACACTTAAACGTGTGAACCATTTGGGTGTTTTTCTTTGTAATCAGAATTCAGGCGCCCGTGACATCTAACTGATGGGAGGGTCAATCGACCGACGGACACCGGGTAAGTACTGGGTCGTCGTTGGATTCGTGGACAAAATCAGTCACTTCACTCAAGCGTGAACATGTTTGTCTGCTGAGACGTGACAGTTCAGTTGAGTCCAGTGTGTGCTGGTAGATTAGTTTTAACAGCCTCAGTCTGGAGTTCAAACCCCACCTCAATCAAGGATATGCATTACAACAGAGCGATGCTCGAGCCTAGTGGTTTCCTTTGGTCTGGGTTCGCTTGTGTCAGGGTTGCAAAATGATCGCTTAAGTGAGTGTGATGTGAATGCAATGACAATGGTGGCTGATAATTTTCGAAAACGTGATTTTGATTAAACTGCACGCCACTGATCTCGTTCTCGTGTTGGTCTACTGGGAGTAAAGTCAATATCCTACTCGAGCCAACGCGATCCCGCTCTCACCTTTATACTGACCTACAATTGTACCGGTAGTGCCGACGGCCCTCTCACCTTGGTGCGGGTTTGCTTCTAATGTGCGACACCTGACGTTTGAGGGGTTTGTACCATACCCCCTTTTAATCCGTTTCTTCGGAACGAAATTTCGTATTGACTGATTTAATCTCCCCTTTACTTCTCTCCTACAGTTGCTCGGAAACGCGCAAAGTCCATACTGAAACGATTGTCAAAGTCAGTTGAGTAGACAACTTATGTATTTCGTTCTTCAATTGTACAGTTCTGTTTTGAGATTTGATATTTTTCTAATCAAACGAAATGAGGTAACGATATTCTTCCGTCAGTATAATTTGGTGAACCACTTTTGAGATGTAGAACTTGGGTGTTAATTTATAGGCAAGAAGAGCTGCGTTGTAGTTGGTTGGTTGGTAGGTCCCCTCAGATGATTGTCAGATTTGGATTAACACCTTCCTCCGGTAGTTAATGCATCCTCTGAAGCGAACAGCCAGTTAGTCAGTATGCCAACACCTTGGCCCGTTTCATCTTGTCACAACTGTACGTTTCGTGTTATGTTATCGGGCTGCAATTACTAACGGGTGATGTTAGACCAACCGCTCGTCCACCCGCTATTTCCGTTTGACCGATGACGAACCAAGGCGCTCTATGTTGTAACCATGCCTCTTACTGGCGTTAGTTCAAATGCCATTTACGGATAGAAAGGCAATATAAGCGAAGTTGCAATGGAATTTTTGGCGAGATCCCATAGACGACGATATACTGGAATATGCCGTCAGCTGACCATCTTGTTATACGATACTCGTGCAAAAACGGATTTTCGCAAGCGATGCGCATGCGGATTTGAAACCGTCATACGAAAATCCTAGCGGATTACTTCTCGGAGCATTTGATAGACTATCAGTCTGTGATGCCGTCACCTCGTGCGTTGATCGTTTGTTACTGTGCCATTGTCTAGGACGTCAGCATATTTCCAACATCGAATACTAGATATTATCGAGATGTAAATTCGAAGTACGTTGTCCGATTATTTCATGCTGGTTGCTCACGAACTCCAAGTATTCTGTCATCCTCATGCGATAGGTTCACCAACATATGGCATGTAACTGCATTGTTTTGGATGAATTGTGCTCTATCGTATGCCATGTCGCACCAGGATAAAACACGCAGGTGAGATGCGTGGTGACGTTGCGACTTGCCGTTGCATTGCCCTTCGTGGACGGAAGATTTTTCAGAAACATAGGGGCCACAGTATTTCTTAAGATTACGGAATGTCAGGTCCGGACACGGAGGATCTCATAGGACGATTGGGGTGAGCGGGCTATACGCAGTTCGTATTAAGCAGGCAGTGGGAATAGACGGTTAACGAGAGTAGATGCTCCATTGACGATTGATTCTATCAACAAACAGGTTAATAAACATCGTGCATTAAGTAGAACATACAATCAACAATGGCGCGATCGGTAGGAGCAGAAAAAGGGACAATGAGGCAGCAGGGTTTTCTGGAAGTAAGTACCTGATGATATACTAACGTACGGTTACGGGCGACCAGATAGTGTAAAAAGGCCGTACACAGAGATAATAGTGCGGAATACAGCCGTTCGGGAGGTAATGTAAACCGTCTGGAAAACGGATATCGGGTTAATTTGACAGCGTTTGGCCAATAGCGTGACGAAGCAGCACGTGTCAAATTGGAATGCGCGCTTAGGCCCGAAATCTCAGCAAACACTATCAGGTGAGATACAATACAAGCATACTAAAGAAATAGGGTTGCCTGTCCAGTCGAGCTGGCGTAGCGGACAGCGCCCTCGTCTGCCATCGGATGGGATCCCGATTCAATCCCCGGGCGGCCAGGCTCACTGTCGCAGCTGACACAACCGCAGGCGAAGACAAATGATAAAATCTCGTTATTATGCAAGCCCTAGGCTGAAGCAAAAATCCGGGAAACGAGAAGCAGAGAAGCAAGACAGCCTTATAATAAACGGGCATAACTCACGCTACTAAAATAAGAAAAATAACCACTGATTGCCGTTGTTTCTCAGGAAGAATGAACACTGGATAAGAAGCACTTCCGCTCGCCACCTATCCACATTTGTCAGTTGTCTTTTACAAACCTTGTTACCAATAATTCTTCGACCCGCGAGGTAGATTAGTTCTGCTAGATATCACTCGATTCGGTTGACCGGTTCAGCATGAACACAATCTTTTCGGACGGTGTCGACTCGAAATGGAGGCAACGGGCACGCAAACCAAGCAAGGTAAATAAATACGCCCAGCTGAGGAGGAATCGGGCACCCGTTCAACGTCAAATGGTGAATCACTGCTAGCACAGCTAGGAAATGCAACAGGTGATGCAGTGCATCACACTGTTCATTTTGGTGCATTTTGCCAGGATCATCACGATTTTCTCCTACTTTAACCATCCGCGTGTGATAGTCAAATGTCGGAACGATGACTACCTACCACATACCTATAGCAATACACCAGTTCTCAACCTGTCACCACCCTTGCAACCCCTTTTCACCAAGCAGTATGAACCGCCTGTTTGTACGTCGATAGAGAGACTCCTTCCGTATGCTATCATTTATTGTGAGTAAGTAGCTTTTCTCTCAATTTCATTAACCCACTTTTTTGTATTTAGCAGCTTGGCCTCAAACGCATGATGCGGTTGAGTTAAGAGGAAAGGAACGAGCTCTAAGATCAGAATTACGTAGCTAACCGGAGTGTCGCAAAGAAAACAAAGCCTTTCCTTGCCGGACATGCCGAGAAGGTTCCTGTGACACCAAGTGTTCGAATGCCTGTTAGAGTGATTCCCAGCACGAACTTATTTTAAAACTGACGAACGCGTTGCGCAAGGTGGTATCTTTTACAGTGCTCAGAGTGCGTGGCACCAGTATTCGTCGTCTGGAGAGTCATTTTAGTATTTCTTTGCAGGCAGTCAGACAGTTACTGAGGGAGACAAAATTAACCATTGTAAGGCACACAGGCGCAGAAACAAAGTATTGCCGAATTCGAATGTTGCAGGACATTTCCCATAGGAACTGTGTGAATATTTGGAATACACTATTCATTAACGGGCTAGTGAGGTATCTCGGCGGCCACTTTGGCACATATGAGTCCGAACTCGATCGACGCGTGCAACACGCTCTACAGTTCGAGACTGGAATATTGAAAAGGGTCACGGATATGTAAACATTGAAGACAGTAACTGGGCCCACTTAGTCAGATCCCAATTCTTTTGCCAAAAAAACGTTGCCATTCGACGCATTGCCAAGGTTGCTGTTCACCGAAAAACAACGTGGCTACATATGCCGCGGAGCTCCGTCACACGATGCCTTGCGCTTCAGCAATTTTATTGACGAGCAATTCCCTGCGCGGTGGATCGACCGAAGGAATGGCAATTGATAATTAGTGTGTTAAAAAATTTCTTACCCTGCATCCTATAGAAAGAAATTTACCGAAATCTGTCTAAAAAGGAGTACCTCAATGCAAACAGATAGGCGAAGGAAAACTGAGTGGCACCTAAATCTTTGTGAACATGCAATACAGTTCAATAAAAACAGCTGTTTTGTTTTCTTCATTATTGTCATTATATTAAGACACCTACAATAACCACTGGTTGGAAACTAACCTCATTTTTCTTTACTTATTTTGAAATGCGCAAAAGCAGCATTTTCATAATATCGTGTGTGACAAACGAAATGATGATATGCGCACAGAGACGCAACCTCATTGTAGAAAACCCGGGTATCCAGATCCTCGAAAACTTGACGTAACTTGTAATACAGGTTTACAACATCTAATTTGCCGACAAAAGTGCATGCCAAGAATGACACTAATCTTCTGTAAGATAGCTACCGTTGTCTGTGAGTGAGGGGTAACTCCCGTATCTCTTCAGAAAAACCGCTGCTGAATGACTGTTGCATCATTTCATTGGAGGAAAATTGTGATGGTTTTGGCAAACTGCATAATCTGTTTCGTCCCGTAACTGAGTCAGTGGGGATTCCTTCTTTGATGTTACGCAGGTGCTCGATTCCTCTGCTTAATTCCATACAGAAAATTGACCAGCGGAGACCATCGGTGACACAACTGATGTAACGGTTTACGTTTACGTTCACTAGCACACTAGCAAATCGGTTTGGAAAACGTCCTATCCACCGTGGTTCACTAGGGGTTTTATGACCCGACACTTTTATTTACACAACCTCTTGTCCAAGGCCGTACAAAATACAGCCGTCGAACCTGCTAACCGGATTTGACTGAACGCGTCATTGTGTCGTTGGAGTTGGTCCAGGTGAAGTGGAGATTCACGATCTCATCACAAGCTGTTAGAATGTCGTAGGGAATGGGGGACGGAATTTGGTGGGAGTTCCTTCATGTCTCGGCGATATCTTTTATGTTTATGGGAGCCGATCGCGCGGTAGATAGATGGGTGTTTTCAGGAAAATACTATTCGTCGAAGGTTATTTGGGCTTAGTTACTACTTCTATAAACATGCCGTGCCTTTTGAATGGATTGTTGAACACTGTCCGTTCGTATAACCCGTACTAGTCACAGTAAAGAAAGTAAAACGTGAACAAGCATAATCGACCGATTCGACGAATACGGCATGGTTTGTTTTAAATATAAAGTATTTGGATAAATACACTCATTTGTATAGCAATTTGCTTTTGACGGAAGACTCACGTGAAACCCAACCGACTCTCTCGTTTATGATGCTCTGTTGGTTGACAGAAACTCTGGAACTGCACTTAAGTGATGAGCCCGAGGAAGGGCGAAGTCAGTCGTGGGCTGTCGACGAGTTTTTAGCAACCTTACGAGTAGTGCATTACGTCTATAATATATTTAGTTTGATTAAAAGTGTACATTTAATGCGGAGTAGTGGAGTGATCGGTTGCAATATCTGACTGTATTCAGATCGCTAAGTTCGCAGGCGACTTATACGATGGATCAAAAAGCGGCGTTTCCTGGCATAATAGGCAAGTGGTAAGTCAAACCTGCAGCGTTCAGCGACGAATCAGCATGTGTGATCGAGTTAACTATAAATGTGTGCTCATAATAGTCTAAAACAGGAACCCGCAACCCCGAAGCCTGAGTACATATGAGTATATGTATTACTGAGAGATTCAACTGAATATCAGTAAAATCCCTTGTTACTACTGATTTTCAGTTGAATGTACCGCACCAAGATAGCCTCATGTTTGAGTTGGTGCATTCGAAGTACTGAAGTAAATCGGGTCACCGCAGTGTTGATAACTTAGTCGTTTGTTACCGGTGTTTGGTGATTACTCGGGGACAGGGTCTATCGAATGAGCTCCAAAAAGGTCGAAAGTGGTCGGGGGTTGTCGGAAAATTTCCAGCAACCTTAAGTGTAATGTGTTACGTCTATACAATCTATCAACCTACCTTGTTGGGTTAGAAAAAGATACCGCACTCTTTGACTTTTAGAAACAGTTCATTGATCTATGGTGTACACTAATGAAGTAATTCGAATGAGTATGTAGCACTTACACACATGTTAACAGGAAAGGCAGATTACTCATGAAAAGCCATTCACTCACAGAACAGATAGTGGTGGGTAACATCACTTTTTTACAGTTTTATACCAGTTCTTCGCAACAAAAACGTGATATGAACGTTTTAACGACATCACACCCGATACGGGTTGCTGGTATTTCCTGGAATACTGACTGTCGATTTTGCCCTTCTCGTACCTCATCAGGTAGATGTACATATTCGAGACATCAAATTTTCTTTCAGGGACTGTTATACAACTTGAACATCCGGATTTTGAAAAACTTCCGGCGTGAGCCCAACTATTTCATGGATTACGAAGTCGTATATTGATGGAGTGAGCGTACATCCCTGCCTGATGTCACTTTTTGTCTGGAAAGTTTTATGCATCTCACGTCAGAAGATGTCTGAACGTAAGGACTGGATTATGTCCACAAACTTCCGAGTTATTCCGTGCCTAGGAACTGAACTTAGAAACACTGACCGACCAAATGAATCGAAATCACCTCTTAGGTCACGGGACAACAAGATTGTGGGTCATCTGTACATTTGACGCTGCTGTGGGATCTGTCAGAATTTGAAGCCTCTACCCAGACGAAATCCCGCTTGGTTCTCTTCGGTCGAGGTTTTGTATTTCACATTAAGATGACGCCGAATCAGTGGTACCAGAAGTCTTTTCACGACGTAATTTGTTCTGACTTCCCTGTTGTTACCACAATCACTGTGAGTACCCTTTTTTTTGAAGATGAATACTATTATGGACCGACCCTAGTTGTTTGGGACGATCTCTTTCTCTAGGACAGACGTAGTTAGAGTGCACGGGCTCTAACTAAGTAATACATTGCCCTCGTTCAAAAGAACACCGGTTATAGTTTGGATTTGGATTCCCCTTTACTGCAACTTCACTCAGTCAGATCAGTCAACAACCATCATCGGTTTGGAACAGTGGACTTGATTGCTTGATGGGATCCGGCTGGTCTGAGCCATTTCCAAAAGCCTATTGCACCTAACCGAAATTGAGGCTATTCGGCATGGGTTTCGACACTTGCAGATCACGGTGTGCACTACTCGCCGAAAAGCATCCAAACTCCTCAGAAATGACGTATGCATAGACATTGATTGATATTTCGTACCGTGACTTGGAAAGATCTTATCTACTATTCCATCGAGCCTTTTCACTGAAGAGCCACATCGACCGCGTTATGCTAGATCCTAACATGTCTCGGGGAATAGAAGAGCCACACGACCGCGTTATGCTAGATCCTAACATGTGTCTCGGAATAGTGTCTCGGTCACTTATATCCCCCAGCTGAATTTTCCAACATTAGTAAATGTGAGACTTCTTTACGTACAGCCTCAGTGTACCTATCAACAAATTCTAAGTGAGACTACATGCGTGACATGGTTCTCCTGAGTTTGATGAGTGCAGGTTGCTCTCTTTGATGAAAATAACTATATTGCCTGATACTGCTCAGGTGATCCGACCATCAGAGGTATACAAAACTAAATCACCTGATCTAACCCTGCAACATTATGGTTTCGGCGTCCACCTCATATCTTGTGGACATAACCGGCAAGTTTGAAATGCCTTTTAGTCAACAGATTAGATGCAGTTTCGCTGGGACAGTTGAATGAGCCATATAAAAAGCTCTCTCATGCCATAAGGTCTGTGACTTAAAGATACACACTGTTTGACGTCACACTGCTGATGCAGACCCCTTTGGTTACCCACCGAACGCTTTTCTGGAGCGCCAGTTTTACGAATGTTGTGGGCACCCAGCGGATATCATTCGTAGAAAAATGCAATATAGATTGCTAGCACTATGCTCTGATTTTGGCGGCCCAGGAGTCTGTGCCAGTTTATTGCGTGAATGAATTACTCGCCAAGATTTGACAGCCTGAGTTTTAAGGACGTAACCATACTTGCGATACCAGACAATGCGTACAGGCAAGTTTATTGTGGCGTAGCAGAATGAATTAGTGACTTGTTCTTGCTAGGTTAATCTACCACAAGAGATCGTACTGCATAGTCCACTGCCCTCACGAGCTATTGAAATAGCTGGTCGACGACGGAACGCTATGGGTACTTGACTTTATTGTACTCCTTGCAATGTTCAACCAACGAGTGAACCTGTCGATTTCATCTGCGACGAAGTTGTGGTAGTGGGAACATCGTCAATGCCTGTTTTTCCACACCAACTACTGCCGTTATCCATCATCTCGATCGAACACTTCTAAGATATTCTACTCACATCAGCGGGATATGGACCGTAAGCATTGCATGTCATATAATGCGGCTACAGAAATACTAGTGTTTTCTACAGGACTTATGTTGGTTGATTTACTGACGTCCAGTATGTTCACCTCCAGAGACGGAACAATTAAGGTAAAAAATTTTGTCGTTTTGCTCTGAGCTTGTGATACCCAAAAGGAGTGGTGCGGCTGATCAAACATCGCAACGTTTGATGGACAGATCGCCATCTGACTAGCGGACACAATCCGTCCTGCTTGACCACTACTCATATTCTAGGACTGAAACCTTACCGATCCACACTAACTTAACTGTTCTTCCTTGTGGTGCAGCAATCCAGTTATATGGTGATTTGAGAAGATAAGGTAATCTCCAAAATAAATCTCATCCTGTCAGCAAATACAGTAAGGCCGAGAAGCACTGTACAGTTGTTTCCTCCTTGTTTAGAACCATCAGTAGTGTGCATCTCATATGATTGAGAAAGCTTTGAACTCGAACTTGCCAGTCAGCCAGCAAGCTAAACTGCAAGCTCGTTGAAAAGATCAACGGCCACCTGATCAACCATGAAGCTGGAGTATTTCGTTATCACACTACCTAATTACCCTTATTGACGCACACGACCTGTGAATATTAGACTATTTTGTAGGTGAGCGCATTCTGTAAATTTTTTACCTTCCACCTTTAGTTTTTTTGATTTTGATCTGTGAGCCAGTGGATTACCACCATGGTAGATGATGTGACTAATTTTGTAGTGTTGCCCCACGGACACAAATTGAAACTGTTCATATTTTTCAACTTCAACAGCTATGGCTAAATCTCAATACCGTTAAACTAATTGCCTTCTTTTGCTGAACTTTGTTGGTTTTCGAGAAGAGGAGGTTTCATACTCTTGCTAACAGCAATGTAAGACGTAGGAGTTCATTATTCAACTTGATACAGGAAGATATGGCGTCGCCTCAAGCACGTTCACAGAAGTTTGATTTAGACGCGGGAAGTAAGGGGCAATCAACTGCACTTAATAAATGGATAATCTGATCCATCGTAGACAGATGGACAACACTTTGGACAGTGAAGTGCTCGTAATCCCACTGCTTGTCGACTTTCGGTTACATTCTTATAGGACGCCAACCTGTAATCTTCCCTCTAGTGTCTCCTTTGGTGTATGAACAAACCCACAAACTTATGCTGTTGTATGTTGATTTATGTGCCTACTTAAAATCGGTGAATAGTGATGGATCTGATTAAATTTTAACTCCTGTCTAATCAGTAAGCACTGAGAATCTGGTGAGGAGTCGTGTGAACCAAGCTGGCTTCTAATTTCAATCTTCAGTTGCATGTCACTTTTTGATATGCAGAATGAACCGTACTAACGAACATGTGTTCTACCAATCAGCAGCAGAGGACCTTGTCAGCTCCATTTGCACATGTGTGTCGGTATTCACGCATGCGATTAGATAGGTGGTTGGACCAACGAAAGTACTGGAGCAGTTTGTGCTGTGTCTCTTGAGGAGGTAATCAGCGACGTAAAATAGGGATGATTCTGTCACTAGGCCACGGAAACAACGACCTCTTCGGAATTACTCGTTCGAATTTGTCTTTTCACCCTTGATGTGAACCAGGTAAGCCCAGTCTCTCAACGCTGGCCCCAAATGTGACTACATATGCACCTGTTCCTTACGCGGGAGTTACTGATTGAATTATTCCATCTCACTTCTTCGCATGTACTGTGTAAGTTTTAAAGATTCATTCTGAGCTGGGATATTTCTAAGCTAGACTGTGTAGTTTTTAGTAAGATAACAGTCCATGCACCGTTTTTTAATAATGACATTGTTCAGCGCTAACGAAACCGCTTTTTCAAGACTGTCGGTAACGTGTTTGTTTGATTGTTAACCAGCAATTGAGAATATAAAACAACGTTGGCAAGATGTCTAAGCATTGGCAGTTCCGATGAGTTTATCGGTTGTTGATTAGATGGTAGCTGATCTGTTCGACGATCTTGCCAATAGTTCGTTACTATGCTAGGGAACACTGTCAGTACACTGTTAGCTGTGTGTTGTCTGCCGTCATTACCAACAAAATATATCTCGGAAAAATGTTCCACAAAAGAAAGAAGTTCTGTTGTGTACTGGGTTCCCCCAGTGAAGATATGGCTTCCTCACAGAAAGTTCGAAGGTTTAGGTAGGAAATAATTCGTAACCTAAGGACACAGAATAACGCACTGTAGACCGTTTGCTAGTTTCATCACCTGTTATTCATCCTGATTATCTTCGTTTATATTTCTTTTTCTATGGTAGGTATCTCTTATTGATGGTATCTCTGTGGCAGATGTCTAGTTGGGGTGTGTGTAATATAATACTTCAAGATATCTTCTACTTGCTTAGGGGTAATCGTGGGAAATTTTCACGAGTAAATGGGTAATAGCTTATTCCAGAATTGACCGGTTAAACGTTGTGCGCGTGAAATAATTCCTCATTCTCTTGGGGTTCACGCATTGTCACTTCATGTACGTATTCATGATACTTATCGGACAAAACGCTGAAAAACTCGTATCCATTCTTCGTCTGTCGTCGCCTCATCTAACTGTGAAGGCTCGCTAATACCGTAGCGATGTGTCGGATGGCAAGACAGAAACATTAAGAACGCGTAACCAGCCGACTGACCGGAACTAGAATGCGGGCGTGTTTACTTGGGCGGTGGATTTTGACTTGCTGTGCAGTGCCAGTATCTATGGTCCATCTATCCATCCTGTACTGTTCTGGTGTTGATCTCCCTGGCCCACACAAATTAGGGATTTTGAGGCTTGTTCCATTGAGTTCGCTGTAAGGGGCGCCTCATTCCATCCATCCCGTGAAGTATCATGATAGCCTCTCTACAGGTTACTTAATCACTTTCATGACCTTGACCCATTTCATGAGCTAAAGGCTTGTGGATAAACATATTGCTACTAAATGAAAATTGGTAGACGTATCTCCACATTATCGTTTTGGTCGGCCTTCAGTTTTTGGAAATTGAGACCAACAGTCTGTGGTCTTAAGTCATGGGTAGTACAGTTGGTTTATCAGTTCTGCCGTAACTTGTCATGGAATTTATTGTGAACCAAGTTGAGCAACAAAAAATTTAGACCTTCAGCTTCTGGAATGCTGTTAACAGTTTGGAGCAGCTGATGTGACGACACATATTTGAGTCGGGCTTTTAAATGCTTCATGCAGAATAGAGTTAGCAAAGAAAGAAAAAGGACGCCGAAGTGAGAGAATACGTAGGAACAGGTCGTGTTGTGTTGACACAGTCAAGAGCATTCGAACGTATGCACCACACATTTGTTTAGTAGAATTTTTCCATTGAACCCTCAAATTTTTCGCACATCATATGCCACCATACACCAGGTACTCACCACCTGCTACCTAAGTCATTGTTTCAAATCACAACATATTCCACTACCTCAGTCACTCCCATTCCAACTACATACACCTGATTTTTTTTCATGTCTCATGGCCATAAGTGACCGGCTGTGTGAATCTGTTGTTTAGGAGCCCAGTGTTCTCGTCTACATTATTTTTTTGTTTTTTGTTTGGCGTATGCACACGTTTTAAAGCGTGTGAGTTGCCAATAATGTGTCATTCCTTTGAGAAATATTTTTTCGAGAGTTTCAAACCCTCGCTAGAAATCACTGAGTCTTTGGATCTTGTGATTAAAGGGATCACTTGATTACTTGACGATCAATTATCTGCCAAACGTTCCCAAGTGTTTAATTCCTCCTAGGAGTGCTACTTAACTGCGCATTGTCAACGTCTCCCCGACTGGGGACGAAATGTTTGCAAGTCAATTGCCAAACCTGGCGAACAGATCAATGGTCTTCTGATCCAACACCACGACTGAAACTCTTTTATCGTAAATTTATGTTTTCACCAGTAATTGTACTTCTGTGGTAGGTTAGTCAGTGATGTTGGCCGTGAAATTCAAGCATGGTGTCTGATGTAGACAGCAGTTATGCACGATACACCTGTCGTCAAGTTAGTCTCTACCGATTGTTAAGCGAAATCCCTGCCGCGCTTTAGGGTTAACGGAACTGTCTACATATGTTACGGGCGTAACGGCAATGTTTTTTAAAAGACCCTGATCTAAGTAACATGATACCAAAAATCAAGTGCAACTTGCAAATCCAATCTATGCAGTCGGACTACGGAAAACAGAGGCTGTGGATTGCCTGCACACAGTCATAAGCATGTAAACTTTGTGCAGCGGATTCACTGAGGGTTTGCACTGATAACCACGCTATTCGTGAACATCTATCAGAGTCCGACTGTCACTATCATCCATCTCAATCCGGCTACCACTCCCCATATTATACCAAGCAGTTTCCTCTAATTAAGGGTTGTTGGGGTATTGGCTTCTGCGTATGGCAATGCACTGTTCAGATACGTGAGGTGACAGCAGTCAATTGAATTCTTCCGCTCAGTGGAACGATGTCAACAGCATGACTGATCGTTTTGGAACCATCCTCGCTATGCACTTAGCCTGGATGGGCTTGAGAAAAATGATGCGCATACGCTGATCATTTTTTGGCCTAGTTAGCAACCATCGTAATTGTCTCGCCGACCTCTTTCTTAGTCTTCCATAGGCTATCGGAAAATGATATTGTCTTTGATCCGCGGTTTTCTCCGATTTCGATGAGAAAAGCTTGCCTCATTGCTTGTCATTTAGGGTTTGATGTAGATGCTCTCAGACAATCAATTAAATGGATGGGTTTTGGCGTCTAAAGACACAATGACTCTAATCTCAAGTTTTTAGGATTTACTTTACCCAACTAGAAAAGTCCGCTGACGAATTTTCATCCGAGACTAACATGCCAAAAAATTAGCTTGGTCTTTACTTTGAATGCGTCTAGCGACGTTGGCTGTAATTGGTCCAATGCCAAGTGCTGCAAAATTTGCTAGTCGGTTAGAAAACGGCCTCGTCGAATTGAAACCACGCCACTTACCCAAATCGCTCCCCTTCGACTCCTGGACCTATAGTCCATCAAACATAAGAACTAAATAGTCGTTTATTATCTTCTGAAGCGCACACCTCTCGCACACTTCTGAGCAATTCTTGAATGCTAACTTCGGAAATAATGGGTCCGTCACTTATGTCAAAAGGGTCCTCTTGGTGTTCGCAAGTGTAGTGGGTGACAGCCGTGAGCCTAATCCAGGTTTCACGTGAGAGCACACCGCGGCCGTTTGAATCGGGCTGCATTCGTCTACTACTCGAAAAGAAGACTCAGTGAAACTTGCCACAAGCGACTCCATACTGACCTCGTTTATGGACTTGTAAAAATGTGCACTCACTTGGTTGGCGTATTTGTCACCCAGGTGACAGGTGGATTTCGTTGACAAATGGTGTTGATCTGAAAGTTATCATTTGATACTATTGGGTTTTATGTTTTAGACCGCTGAATTAAACCTGTGTGGAGGTGGTAACCCCGATCAACGGAGGATTGCGGCTGAATTCGTCTTGCGCTGGTTGTTCTCATCACAATGACGCAAGATGAACAAATGTCATACAGAATTACTCGAGACACAAATTTCACGAGTTTGGACTTTCATTATGGCTTCAGAGCAAAACACAGACTTTGGAAAGTGTTGGGAAGGAACTAACCGCTATGAATATCTAGCTAGAATGCATAGCTAGATACGATGAACGCAAGATACTTTGGAAATTTAAGCTGAAATACACTTAGGAACGGTCTATGGTTAAAAAGCTGAATTGAATAGAACCCTCCCAGAGGTCATGTTATTTTTCCCATCTTCGCACCCCAACTTTCCTCATGTCTGATACCACATCTGCATTGAATACTATAGGGGTATCATGCTAGGGTTTAACTTATCAAACTTCAATCATTTTTATCCAAACCCACGCAACAAATTCGATTCAGCCTTTTACAGAACCGGACAGCTATTAAGCAGTCTAAACAGATTACGTGACCTCAAACCGCTCAGCACTCTACTTGTGGCCCACGGCTCGTCTGCACTCAGCTTCCAAAAGTCCATGTCTGAATCACGCGTAATTCCAATACGAATACGCTAGGTACGTTAGCAACTTGCACTTTTTCCACACCGACAATTTAGCGGTTGCTTTTTCCAACCCGACTACTCATTGACCCAGGGATCAAGCTCCAATTGAAGGTATTCTCTAGCCTAAACTAGCCATTTAAATTGCATCCTCGGCTACCCCTTACTTCCAGCTATGCATGAGTCGACCCAACCTGTCTCATACGCGAGTGGAACAACCCTTCCATTCTAGCCAAATACGACGGGCATGAGAGCGGGATTAGGGGTGGTCTGTCGTCATCATTGATGCACGTTTGCGATCGACCACACTTGGAATTCACCTGATCGACTGCACTGTGACGGAGTTCAAGTGGTGAAGCTGAGTAGTAGCGGAAAGTGGGAATAATAGGTGAAACTCCAGTTGATGCGCTGCACTCATTCGTTTCGGGCCTAGTGTTTAAGGCTTCCAGGATCGGGGGTCAGTACGCACACAGACTTGAGGTTTGCGCTCTCTTTTCAGACTCTGTCGTTATTCTACAAAGTGTTGATGATTTTTATAGGGAAAATGTGGTACGTACACTCCCAAAGGTTAT